TGACTGGACGGGGAGGCCGTGAGTCTCCCAGAAGGTCCCACAGCTCGGTGGGGCTGTGCTGGGAGCGCGGCTGGGAGCCGCGAGTGGACGTGGGGCGTAGGGCATGGTGGGCGATAGGAACTGCTGGCCAAAGGGCTGGGACTGGCATGAGGAGCCTGAAGAAGTTGGATAATTTCAGCCAGAAATGGGGCTGGTGCTGAACCGGCAAGGAAAATAGGACTGGGTGTCGTGGTTTAACCGCAGTAGGCAGCTAAACACCACAGAGCTGCTTGCTGCCTCCCCTCCCAGTGGGATGGGGGGAAGAATTGGAAGGGTAAATGTAAGAAAATTTGTGGGTTGAGGTAAGGCGGTTTAATAAGTAAAATAGAGGAAACAGAAACAAACCGAAGAAAAGCAAGCGATGCAGAAAGACCCAGTTGCTCACCACCAGCTGACCAGTGTCCATCCCCAAGCAGGGCAGCCCTGGCAAACTCCACACCCCTCGCTATTATTGCTGAAGACGACGTGGTCTGGAATATCCCTCGGGTCAGTCGGGGTCAGCTGTCCCGGCTGTGTCCCCCCCCAACTCTTTGTCCCCCCCCAGCCTCCTCGCTGGTGGGGTGGGGGGAGAAGCAGAAAAGCCCTTGGCTCTGGGTAAGCACTGCTCAGCAGTAACAAAAACGTCCCTGTGTTATCAACACTGTTTTCAGCACAAATCCAGAACAGCTCCGTATGAACTACTGTGAAGAAAATGAACTTTACCCAAGCCCAAACCAGTACACTGGGACTGGAAACCACAATGGGGTAAGAACAGAAAAGACCTTACGTGGGTGCGTGCCTGTTTGGGGGAAGAAGAATCAAATGGACAACAAGGTGCTCTTTAAACACGCATCGTTCCACAATGTCGAATAAAACTGGAAAGCTGGGTTTCACTCTTTCTCTACTATCAGTAAGTATCCCTGAAACCTACAGGGAAGGTAACGGTATCTCTCTAGTGCATTTTGCAGAGAAGATGAGGACCTGTTAGTGCAATCAGTTAGTCCCCTTGCTTAGCAGCGTTTCAGTGCTCTGATGATTGTTGATGCTCATGCAGTGGTGGGATTCTAGGTTGTTTTTTTTTCCCAGTTTGCTTAGGAAGTTACACATTTTTCCTTGTGTTAAAGAACATGATTGCCTTTTGAATGTTAATAAATTAAAAGTTAGAAAATGTCAGAAGCTCCTGCGCTGCTCCCTTAAGTCAGACTCTTAATATTTACATTTCCATACCATTTTCAAACATTCTGTTCCATACTGATGTTTTCCCTGGACAATGTTTCTTTCCGTGTCTGGGCTGCAGATTCTCTTCAAACTAGTCCTGCAGTTATAGACTTCATTAAATGTTTATTCACTAACAGAAAGGGGGGAAGCCAATATTAACAAAGTCAAAATGGTTAGGCAGCTTGTATGTTCAAAATGGCGCACAAAGGAGCTTGGACGTACTTGCACCAACGTGTAAGCAAATGTCCTTACTAAGTCTCCTGAAAAGTAGCATGTCAGTGTAATATATCAATTATCCTTTGCATACACCAATTCTTTTACCTGACACACAATCCTGATACTGTAGGTATTCAGGTAAAAAGCAGAATGGTATTGGCTTTGTTTCACTGCTCTGGTTTTGTTGTGGGTTTGTTTTTTTTAATTAATAGAAACAAGGTGCACAAAGAATCCAGAAGTTCTTGCTAATATACCTGAGAATCTTCTGCAAAGCTGGGCCGAAAGCCCAGCACAGATTGTGAAGTGTTGACTTACTTGCCGATGAAAGGAAAATATATATTTAATAAAAACCTTGAAAAAAAGGTTTTTGATGGCATGACAGTAGACTTGCAGCTCCAGGTGGATTCTGCACCTGTTTCCTGTGTGTATCTTGTGTGTACAAATAGACCATATCATTATTGCCTATTTCACAGAAGTTATTTATTCAACCTAACTGTTAATGACCAGGCTTGTTAGACATCTGCATCTAAACCAGTGGCATGTATAGTCAGCGAATACAGAAAGGCTCTTTGAAGGTGTGATTCATCTGACCTACTGTGGCTGGCTGTTTTAGATGACTCACACCCTAGGAGGTGCCTGTTTCTCTCCATTGGGTATAAAGCAAGCTGAGGATGACTGGCTTGCAGATAGATGGTCTGCATTCCTTCACAGCCATCTCATCTTTGTTGTCTTTTTACTGGCTTATTTGATTATTGTGCCATTTAGGCAGTTTGCTAACAGCCCACCTACCACTCTCATTTAACACTCATGAAAAAGAGATTTTTACTTCAAAGAGTAAATTGAATCATCCATGTCCGTAAGGGGTCTGTACCGAAAGTACCTGCTGATTCTCAATGATTGTGGATGTAGTGCTGTGAAATCTTTCAAAGGCTTTAATGAAAGTCAGCTTAAATCTGACTCTAAATTACTGTAATCAAGGTTCAGCACAGGTTTTGACTGGGAAATGTCATGGCAAATGTTTCTGAGAGAGAGTGTGAGAGAAGGCATATAATACTGCAGTATAATTCTTAATAGACAAAGAGGTCTTAAAGCCATATATTTATGCATGTCAGCTACTTACTAATGTTGATAGAGTTGTGTGTTAATTCAGCTTGTGAGATTTCAGCTTCTGTGGCTTTCCTGGCAAGGAAAGCTGCAGCATTTTCCCAGCATACTGCTGACTGCAAGTGTCTGAAGTCTGTAGCTTTCAACGCTGTGTATGCTCTTCCCTGTGCTGCTGCCTTTTGCACTGCGCAGTATTGTTTCTCGTTTGTTCGTAGGTTCTGAAGGCATCTATATATTTTGTCTTCTACAGGAATCAGTGAAGTTCTGCCATGTTGTAGAGCTGATGCCCTAGAAGTGGCGTTTTGCCTTGAGCTTCTCCTGTAACGTTTCACTGGTTTCCCTCTCCACTATAGAAAATGGCTTCAGGCAGCCTTTTGCCTGATACATGTACCAGATACCCAGATCTAGGTAGCAAAACGTGCAGGAAAATGGCTTTCATCCTAAGTGGCTGTC